TGCATGAAACTACCCTTGCTCAGCCAACTGTTTATGGTGTAAACCAGTTGGAACTACCCGTCCAGCCCGTATCTGGGAAGACTTAACCTCAACAGCCCTAGCCTGAGCTTCCGCTTTATCTATCGCTTTTCTTGCAATAGTGTCGTCCCTTCCCCTGCATTTCACTGCAAAAACCGAAAGAAAAAAAAAACATATATATTTTGGAAATTTTGAAACTTCCCTAATTTCACCAGAAAATTTGAAATTTCTGGAAAAAAATATTTTTTTAACTATTGGAAATTCTAAAAATTTTGGGGAAATGCATATCAATTGTACTAGAAATTCTGAAATTTCTAGAAAAATGCATATTAATTATACAGGAAATTCTGAAATTTCCGATAAAAAATGTATTTAAAAATACTGCAAATTTTCAAATTCACGGTACATTTTACAACTGATTTTCCCATAAATTTTGAAATTTTATGTAAAATACATACTGCTTTCGAGAATTTCAAAAATAAAATTGAAATTTTCAGTATCGCTCAGAGAACTTGAAATTTGCGTATTTGTTTAGTAAATTTTTAGAAAAAGTGAACAATATTCTAAGGTTAATATTGTCTAAATGGGGGTGTCAAATATAAAGGTAGAAGGTGACAAGTTAAAACCTCGAAGACCCATCACTATTTTAATGAGGTTTGATTTGATAACCAAAATTTTAAGAATTTGTTTGGTAAAAGGGATGTGTTTTTCTTCAAAAGTTAATTACTTTATAAAATGTTTTTATAAATAAATAAAATGTGATTAATATACTATGATATATATTTTTTTAATTTATGAAAACCACAAATATATATTAAAATATTAATTTAGTTCTAAAAAACTCCTATTTCTAAAATTAAATACTCTCAAGCTCATGTTAGTCACAAATAATACTCGCAAAAAATTAAATATTTATCTTTTTTCTGATAAGATTAGTTGAATTAAAACTCAAAACTCATGTAACGAAGGATGTACATAAATACTTTTTCCCACCCTTTGTTTTCATAACTTCAATTTGTTTTTTTTTTTTTTTGACGATTTCTCTTTTTTTTCCCCTTCTAATAAACACCTTATCAATGCAAAGAAATTTAGGATAAACACAACAAACATTTATATTTCATTTAAGTCTAAACTATCATATCTATGGTCTATTTTAGTAATGCATGAATGAGAAATAAAAAATAATAATTAACTTACTAATGCAATAGAGAATAATTTCAAATAAGTGTAATACAATGGAGTAGAGCTTTAATGAAAAGCTATGAAAATACTTGAAAATGAGGAGAAATTACTCTATAACTGCTTATGAGTATTCGCTCTTCGTATTCTCTATTTGTGCTCTTTTACAGGAATGAATATGTAAAGGGAGGTAAAGGTGTGAGTTACATAAATAGAAGTGTCCAAACTTCAATCTTCGAATTAAATTCGGACTTTGAAATCCAAATTGGTTTGAAAATTGTGTGGTTTTGATTCCATTTTGGATGATTTCTGTTAAATGAGTCTGGATTCTAATCTCTAGAGTTTTTTTTAACAACATACTTTGTGGGTGCTTTCCAATATCCAGAACTTATTTATGTTTTAAGTGCGTTCGAATTTTAAAATTCAAAACTGAAGTTATTTTTGGAATTTTCATAGGATGTTATGCGTTGAATAAGGTGTGTGAGTAACACATTGGTGCATTGAGTAATCATTTAATAAATATAACATGAGAATTTCTCAATAAACCCTATGTGATTGAAAATCACCCTATGGAAATTAAAATTGCCCCTCAGGTTCCAGAGATACATCTTTAGACACACCTTTATTTTTAGCCAAAAACGTTAACACTTGGTCACACCCAATATATTTTCCAAAATTTATTCTGGAGATGTATCTCCGTATTCACATAAAAAAAACCCAAAGATACATCTTCGTAACCAGAACAAAAAGTAAATTTTAAGTTTGTTTTAGTGATGCAAGATGAAATTGGTGATATAGTAAACGTATTTATGATGAATTAGACAATACAACCGATATTCTAAAAATGACATGTATAAAGTAATAAATCTAGAGTACACAACAAAGTCAAAATAAAATACAACCGAGAATAAATATAAAGTACAAATACTATAAACTATTACATATGATGGACTCGAAAAAGTTTTCGTCAATGCTTTCCTTCCCAATCTCCATGATATGACGATATCTAGGCAACACATTAGCAACATGATCTGCTTTAGCTTGCTCATCCACTAGTATATCCTGATGAGTTAGCCTCGGCGGATCTCCTGGAGCATCCTTTACCATATAAGGATGTGACACCCTGAAGAACTACCAGACGTACCTGTCTACGTAACTCCAATTGCTCTCAGCTATGGTACTTTGTGCCTCCTTCGATATCAGATTATCAAGATAATCATCAAACATAATATCCATATTTCCATGTGTCATAGTGAGAAGAGAAGACATAGAAAGGTCTTTGGGAATGTATTGCATGTATTCAAACTAACACATGACACACTTAAGCAGATGAAGAAATGTCATACGTGAACCACACTCCAACCGTCCCGAGTATAAGACTATTTCGTCAAAGGGACACATCTCACGGTGATCAACGTAAGAATGGGAATTTATACCATCTCCTACCAAGTAGTCAAGATACACTTTAAACGACTCTGTCGCCTGGTTCCTTCTGAGAGGGGAGAATGCTAAAACACGTGGAATGTCCTCACTATAGGTCAATACACATGACCAGCCAGAGATGTGTGGAAAGTGCTAGAGGATCCAAGCTTGAAAAGTGTTAGAACATATGAATCATTAGTAATGGTGTTGAAAAAATGTTATGAAAATGACACACAAGCACTAAAAGACTAAAATATTATCGTCAATAGTGTGATGTTGCCTGTCACCTATTTCTCCTACCACATACAACCTTTGGATACCTTAGAGTATTAGTAGACCAAACAAGCGCTACCTAATTATACTCATGAATTCGATTAAAGTTATCGAAGCAACACAGGTAGATGACATCCATATAAGCGACCCTCTTGTCCATAAAAATGCCAGTTTCAACTAAATATAACATTTATGCTCTCATAAAATACGCTCGATGATGCACTACCTACTTATCATCACTAGTAGCCTGCTCTACTCTAAGTATCTTATCTATATACACCAACTCTAGTTCCCCACCCTGTTAATCTTTACATGATCTAAAAGTTTTCCCATAATCAGAAGATGTAGCAGACAACAGACATCGTCTATTGCAATATACATCTCACCATGTGGTAGATGAAATGGTGACGTCTCTGTGTGCCATCTCTCTAAAAATGTGTTAAGCATCCCGTGATTAACCGTAACATAACCGGTCTTGCACAAATCTCTCATTCCCAATAACTGCAAAACATCCTGAAACCACTCATGATTAGGATACTGCGGGTCAGTAATCTTCCGCCCATGGTTGATGAATTTTAGAGGATCACGATCTTGTAGGAAAATTAATCATCGTCCGAAGCTTCTAATATTATAATAAACATAATTTAAAATGTATAAATCCAACTAAGTTTTACTTCTTTGTCCCAGACATGTCTGATAGTATGGTCCGAGTAAAGACACAGTAGTGACAAGTCTGACGGGCCTCCTCCAAACCCTTGCGGTGCCCGTGGGACCTTCTGGGCCTGTGGTGCCTCAGGCACCTATGTTGCCTCTTGGGCCTAGGGTGCTTCAGGTACATGTGTTATCTCTTTTGCTTGGGGTGCCTCATGTACCTCTAGTGTCTAAGGCACCTCCGGTGACTTGAGTACCTTTGTTGTCTCGGTTTCCTGAATATGCAAAACTTGTAGCCTACGAGAAGATGAAGGCGGGGATGCATAATGAGGTGAAATTTGTCTCCTATAGTAAAAAAAGGTTGAGATACATGAGCCACATAAGTTAGAACCTTCGCATCAACTATACAATCCTGGCGTGACTCAATTGGTATTGTATATCAGTCATAATGCTTGTAAGTAAACCACATAACAAGTGTTATACAATGAGTTCAAGCCAAAAAAAAGGTTTACAAAATGCAGACCGGTGAACTATGAAGATGCATCTCGGGGTTATGGGGAAATCGAAACATTGCAAAATTCCGAAGATGCATCTCTGAAATTTTCCGCAAATCTCACCAACGTCAATGGCAGAAATGCAGTCCTCCAAATGATTAAAAAAAACAAGGCATTGATCAACAAAACTACTTGTCAAACACATTTCACATTATGCATAAGCTATCAAACATGTATAAACTATCTATTTCATAATCTAATAATCAATTTCTACAAATTTATAGAATAACTCAAAAAAATTTAGAAAAATCAATAACTTACAAAACAATGTTGGATGAATTCTTTGATGGACTTGATGTTGATGGAAGAAGCTTTGAAGTTACTTGAATGATTGAGATAATCTGATTTAAGTGAGTTTGAGAAATTTAGTGGTTTCAAGTTTTTTTTTTAAATGGGAAATGTGAAAGGGTTTTGTTGCATCTTTGAACAAATAACGTTCGAAGATGCATCTTTGTAATATATACGAAGATGTATCTCTGCAATATTTTTTCCGATTGACTTAGAACCCAATTCAAAAATATATTAATTTAGAGTACATCAAAAAATGCATTACCAAAATCTAGAAATATTATTATATTTTCATAATGCATAACCATGGGAAGCATTAAGAAATTTCTATATAACACAAGTTTCAAAATACATTGGGTCATGATTGTAGTAGAGCAGCCAGCCCAAAGTATTGTGACACAATGCAGCCCAACTTATTTTTTTATAAAAAAAAACCTATTTTTGTTTGTACTTTCATTGTTTGTTATTGGTTCTTTCCTCAGTCATCTTCTTCAACTGCAACTCAGACACCCTAATCCCCCACACTTTTCCAAAACAATGCCATTGAATCAACCTATCTCCTACTAATCACTTCCACCATTCATTCAATTCCATCTACAAACTCAAAGCCAAACCATGGCAACATCGAAAACAATCTCAGCAGCTCTCAAACTCGTTGACACCAAGAAACAAAATCTCAAAAAAGCATACGATGATCTTCAATCCCATTCCTCTCTCCTCTCTTCCTTCCCCCTTTCATGGCCAGACCTTGATTCTCACTTCACCACCCTCCACAACACTCTCTCTCAACGTTTCCTCCATCTCCAAACCCTAGAATCACAGTTACATCAAAACCACAACGACCCATCTTCTTCTCCTTCTCAATTACCTAACCCAAACCCCAAAAATCAAAACTTTACGTCAATCCCTAATGACCCATCTTCGTCTTCTAATCCTACAACTCACCTGGAAGCATTGACTGCATTTTGTAAGAACAATGATGGAAAAGGGTTGAGGACTTACATTGGGGATAATTTTAAGGACAAGGGTATAATGAAAGATGAACTTCAGAGTGCATTCAAATCTGCGTCTAATCCTGCTGACATGGTTCTTGATGCAATTGAGGGTGTTTTTGTTGCAAATGCAGTGATTGATGGAAAAGAACCTAGGTTTATTAAAAAAAGTTTCAATTTTTTGTTCCAACAATTGAGGGTTTTTTCTCCGTATGTTAGTTTTGATGTTAGGAAGAAAGCTAAGAGATTGTTTAATGAGTGGAAGGTAAACCTGATGAATGAGAATTCTGAGCCGTGTTGGACTTTGGCTTTTTTACAATTTGTTGCTGTTTATGGTTTTCTATCTGATTTGAATCTGGCTGAACTTGCTGCTTATTCTGCTACTGCTTCTGCTAGTGATGATCTTACTGACCTGTACCAGATTATTGCTTTATCAGATAGAGTTCAAGGTGAACATCCTTTAACTGAATTTGATTTTAGAAAAAGTTTTATTTTTGAGATGTTAAGAATAGGAGATGATTACCACAACTGTGTTTGTAGCATGTTAATAGCTGTTGTGACACAATGCTTAATTGAATTTGATTTGATTTAAGGTTTCATCTTTTGAGGTGTTAGGATTAGGAGCCGCTATAGTGCAATTGTGTTTGTAGCATTTTAATAGTTGATGGAACAATCCCTTATTTAAATTTGATTTGATTCTAAGGTTTCATTTTTGAGAAGTTAGGATTGAGAGCGGGTATACTGCATTTGCATCTGTCGTAGTATGTTCACTGCAACTCTTAGTTGAATTTGATTTGATTTGATTTGAGGTTCATTTTTTGAGTTGTTAATAGTGCGGTATAGCACACTATAGTGGAATAGCATAGTGATGGTAGGGTTCAGTGCAACAGTTTTGGCCTGCAAGCCGTGGTCAGCTATAGCGGTTGTAGCGACAACTAAATGCGGTGAAATTGTGGCCCTAAACCGATATTGTTCGTTGATTTCTTGTGTCACCCTTTTTGGTTGTTTAATTTGTTTGTAAGACTAATTTTTCTGTGTCTCTCAGGTATTATTCAGAAACTTATTGAAAGAAGCAAACATATTTTAGCTGTCAAGTATATTTTTCACTTCAAACTTACCGATAAGATGCCACCAGTTCCCATTTTGAAAGCTTACGTCGATGATGTGAAAAAACTCACTACAAGACTTGCCTCTGAGGGAAAATCATATGTATGTATGCTCGCATCCCTTGGTTGATTGCATGGTGGATGATGCTACATTCTATGTTATATTATTTAGTTTTTTCTCGTTTTATGTTTGTTTGCAGAATGAGATCAAATCTAGAGAAGTCCATGCATTGAAATCAGTGATAAAGGTTATTGAGAGCTATAACCTTGATTCTGAGTTTCCGCGTGCAAGCATTGAACAACGTATAGATGAATTGAATAAACAGCGCAGGGTAGGTGGAAAAACTGCTGCACCGGGTTTTGCTTCAAAGCCCACTCTTCAACAACAGCAACTAAGTGGAATCAAGCGTCCTCTAACCGCTGCTCCATTTGGTCCTGCATCAACCATACACCAATACCAACAACCTCATTTCCAGCCCACAAGTTTGTTGCCGGAACATCCAAATCCATACACGAGCATGCCACCAGCGCCGTTTGGCATGAAGGCACCGCCTTATGGTCTTGATGGTGTCTCAATGGCTACCAAAGGAAACCTCAATCAATCTGTTTCTCATCCGAATTCATCACAACAACCACTAGTTATGCCGGGTTATTATGCCTCCAACAGCAACCTCGGTCAAGGTGGTATTCTTCCCAATCCGCCAGAGCCACGAGTTATGCCAGGTTATTATGCCCCAATGAGTTCCAGTGGCAATGTCGATCAAGGTGGTTCTCATCCGAAACCGTCTGCATCTGGCGGCTATGGTCTGCAACATTATTACGGAACACCTTATTCTCAATAGGTTTTTTTTTCTAGTACTTAATTCCAATATTGTAGGATAGGAATCTGATTAAACAATCAAGAATTGTGACTGCCGATTGTTTTGTTTCATTTTTCAATTACATCATTTTGCATCGGAAAAGTTCATTTTAGATCAGTCGTGACAGGTTTTGGAAAATAATACTAGCTAGAATAGAAACTTTATACTTTCGTATTATGTGTAGTTTTAGTCTAGAATTATTTAACAAGTTTTCTGTGCTTTCATTATTCTTGTTATGAAGTTCTCAAATGGACAGCATCTTTGCAAAAGAACATGTTGATATTGTGATATATGCAACACAGGAAAAAGAGCACTATGTTTTATAATGTCTGTTGATTTATCACACATCTTGCGTTTGTATGTTTAGTGTTAGTTAGTACAATTTCCCATTTTCTAAACAAAATTTAAAAAAAAAATCCTTATTTTTATAGTGAAGTAACCCTGTCATCAAATTATCTTTCACTTTGGCAAGTTGTCCCTATGGAAAAAACAAATTTTTACTTGCTTTGAGAATGCTTACTTAGTGCAATACTTTCATTAAATTATAATAACTAAATTATTCACTCACTTTAGTTCTTTAATGAATCCTACTTAATTATTTAATTATGATAACACGTCCGTGTTTTTGAGCGGTTGACATAGAGGGGGGTGTATCTATAGGCAATCTAATACTTAAGTCAGTTTGAGTGAATAGGTGAGTAAGAAAGGGTAAAGAATAAAATATCTGACCTTTCTGCAGAGGAGGGTTTTTATAGTGAGCATTCAGCGCTTGGCCAATGGTTTCTGTTGTGAGCTGAGTGTTCAGACCCACAACGGATGACTATCAGGACTTCCATGTGAAAGTAGGGACGAATAACTCGTGCTAATCGTCTTGGGTCAACCACTCTGCACACCCCAGATAGTGGACGAACTTGCCCGTTACGAAAGACATAATGGTTTTACGAGGTGTACAGGTAAGTTGGTGACGTGTCCTCGGGTGAGGGGCACATGGGGAACATGTTCTCCACTAGCATTAAAGGGTTAGGCCAACACTCTGAGACGTCTTCGACGTAGAACTGGATTGGACTGTGCTCGACGTTGGGTCAGCCACAGGTCGCGTCTAGAACAGGAGCCTCCAAGTCGTTGCCCCCAGGCATGTGGTCAATGACTTAGAGTTAGTCCATGTGTCGAGGAGAAGCAAGGAACTCTGCGTGAGGAAAGCCTTCATTTGGGGCTCACGATCGTGAGCTTGCGCCGACGTGGACGTTGTCTGCGAGTTTACGCCCACGGGGGCAATGCTTTGCTCGCGAGTCGTTGAATTTTTCCTTCGAAGAAGATGCATCGCGCAGGGACTGTGGTCAGGAGCTTAACTTGTGCTTGCGTTGAGCGTTTGGCTCTGCTCCTTAGTTGTCAAGCTACTCGTAAATTTGCTTCAAATTTTTTGCTAGGCCCATGCTCGCGAATGAATGCGAAAGTTCGTCGTGCTCGACATCTTAGAGTCCGGACGATTGACGAGACTTGAAGAGACAACGTTCCGTCTTCTCGAGCCACGTGTCAAAGTCATTTAATGCATAATTATGACCTATGAGTAGGGGTACTCATGAGCTAGGCGGCGACACGTTTACATATGCCACGAATTTAGCTTATAAATAGGAAGAAGCGGAAGGCCATTTGAACATTTCGCTTCATTCTTTCCTCTATTTTCCTTCGAGATTTAGAGCAATGTCTCCGCCGTCTGCCGTCGTCGCCGCCACCGTCACCAACTTTCATCTAATCTTCAAATCAACTTTTATTTCATCTTCAAATCAAGTAAGCTTTCTTCATCTAATCTTCAGTTTGCATGTTAGTTTTAGAACGTAGATTAGTTCTAGAATGTAGGTTAGCTTTCTCTTCATGTTTTGTTTTGACGAATGTTGGTGTTTGGTGGTGGTTTGACCATTTCCAAACACCGGCGGTTGGGAGGGCTTTAACGTTAGCACCGCGATTTTGAGTAGGAAAGATGGTATTTGTGTGATAAATCTCCTGAAAACCGCTTCGGCACCACCGTTAAGGCGATGAATAGGACCTGAGTCGGTGGAGCTTATGAGTTTTCCGATGAAGCTCCGTGTCGAGGAGGCTATTCCTCGCGAAGCTCATGAATTTTCTAATGAAACTTCGTGTCAAGGAGGCTCTTCCTCGCGGAGTTCATGAATTTGCAATGAAGATTCGTGTATTTCCTTATGGGCTTCGCGTCGAAGAGGCTTTTCCTCGTGATTATGTTGATGAGTCAGCTGAAACCTCTGTCGAGGAGAAGATCCTTGTGATTCCCTTTCCTGTTGTTAAACAAGGGCTTTGGTAGAGGGTAGCATTCTCGTGCCTCTCCTCGCCCTTTCACTTGATTTATAGTGGAAGGGGGGATTTAATTTGATTGTCGAATTCACTGTTGTCCTAAGCATTTCATGTTTCAATGGCTCGCAACGTTGAGGGTCTTCACCTGGTCGACACCATCACCGATCCTGACTTGGCTTGGGTCAGGCCGGAACCCCGAGGGATAGCCTTGCGTTTCACAGATTTTCCTGAAACAACATTTACAATTGTCGAGGAAGGTACTGGGTTTTTGGGGGCTCCGGAGAATTGGGAAGTTTATAAGATTGGCCAGGAGGAACGAATCTGCTCGCCTTTCTCAGGGAATCGTTTCACTATGTACGAGTCCTCTTTTAAAGAGTTGGGGCTTCGGTTGCCATTCAACAACCTTCAAGTGGAAATTTTTGATCGACTGGAGCTAGCACCCTCTCAGTTGCATTCAAACTCGACCGCATTTATCTGGGCCTTCGAGATCGTGTTCCAGTACCTTGATATCGGTGTCACAATTCCCCTATTCTTCCGCTGATTCCACCTTCAATGATAGAATTCGCATGGGAAGCACAACAGGGTGTCCCTCAAGCAGCCGAAGAAACTGTTTAAAATGTTCACCGACTCTGCTCGTACATTTAAGAACATGTATTATACGGTCAAACACGTGTTTTGAGCAGCCATCGACTTTGTGTTCGAGTGTGTGCATGTAACCGAGAAAGACGGAAGTGTGCGTCTTGACGAGGATGGGGACGAGGTCACGAGGCTGGTCTCGAAGTTCACCCTTCAATGGAGTAACACCCACTTTGAGGAGGGCACAAATGATTACATCATTAAGCCTAACTAGCTGGACCACGAGGACCAGCGTGGCTTCGAGAAATTCTTGAAGTTCGTCGACGGCTTTGCTCCCGCTCAGTGGCAGACTAAGAATGGGGAGGCTGTCCTCGACGAGCGGGGCAAACCCATATATGAAGCTCGATATATTAACACTAAGAAGCTCCTCGAGTGCAATACTGTTGACGAAGCTAGATTGCTTTTAGGTAGTTGTTTTTCCTTTGATTTGTTTGTGTACTTATTCTTTCTCGATATATTAACCTGTGCTCGTCATTTGTTGTAGATAACATGGCGAACCTTCAGGATCGCGTGCTCAACATGGCGTTGACCAAAGGGAATACTTCAAAGGGCGGGAAGAGGAGCTCCAAGAATAGGATTTTTCAAATCCTAACCCAGTCCAAGGTTGACTCTGGCCTCGGTTCTTCTTCTTCCCCATGGGGCGACCATTCTTCCCCCCAGCAGGACAAGGACACCCCGACCAAGAAACAACACTGTGCGGGTGACGTTGTGGCTATATACCTTACGGAGGAGACTGCCGGGGACAAGTTCGCACTGCCCCCTTGCTATTCCAACAGGGGGTTCTTTAAAGGGGGCTCTTCTCTTCTCGTGCCTCAAGCGGATTCTTCGGCCATCCTGGACCTCGACGCGGTGGGCAGAAGAAAAGCATTGCCTCAGGATGTGGCCGCTCTGATGAGGTTCCTAGAGGTGGCCCTGGTTCTCAATGACGAGGAGACTTGCTCTGTTGCCGAGCTGGAGAAGCAGCGGGAAGCGAATGCGAAGCTCGAAATGGAGGCGATCAGGCTGGAGACCGCCTTTGGTGACTACAAGGAGAAGTACAGGATCTAGGGCGAGATTCTGACCGAGCTACGCGAAAATAAAGAATTGTCCAAGTTAAACGCGGACATGGATGCCTTGAGGCTCGAGCACGCTGTTGAGAAGAAGAGCTTCATGGACAGGATTTCTGCTTTAGAAGTTATCGCGGCCCCCGCCGAGGACGAGGATGATGACCTGAAGACCTTGCAGACCAGAGCTGAGCTGGTTTCCAGGATCAGAAGTATTAAGCAGGATTACATGGATGTTGTAGAGATGAGCTTCGAGAATGTTGTGGCTCAACTCCAAATTACGAACTCCGGGATCAAGCTCGCCATTAGGGATGGCAACGGGGCGGGTCGGGGGCGGGTTTAACTATACCCACACCCGCACCCGCCTCCATGTATCAGACCCGCCCCCGCCCCCAAATTCAATCGGGGGTGAAAATTTACCACCCAGACCCGCCCCCAGTAGAAAACGGGTGCACCCGCACCCGCCCCGCCCCCACCCGCAAAAAATTATTATTTTTTTAATTATAATAAAAATTAATAATTTAATTAAAAAAATTGATTATTTTAATAAATTAATTAATTATTTAATTAAAATTTTAATTAATAAATGAATATTAACTTTATTAATTTTATTATTTTAATTGCAATAAGAATATTAATAACTTAATTAAAAGTATAATTAATAAATAAATATTAAAATAAATAAAATAAGGAAATCAAAATAAAATATATTATTTGGGGCGGGGCGGGGGCGGGTGCGGGCGAGTCTTAGTGTCTACCCGCACCCGCACCCGTAGCTAAGAACCGGGTTTCACCCGCACCCAATTAAATCGGATTTCCCCCGTTAATTTCGGGGCGGGCCTGGGTTTGTTTGCCATCCCTACTCGCCATGACGGGACTAGGTTCCTGCACATGGTGGTCGATGGCCAGCTAGTTGCAACTCCCAACCTTCTTGCCAATGACGAGGAGGAAGACCAAGAGCACATCAATGATGGGAAGCATAATATTTGATTTGTA